GGCAAAATATGACTTTTTTGAAGTATACTTCACAAAAACACCTATGAAACCTGTCTAACAAATTGTACAGAAGTTCATTCAGGGTGGCTCGTTTTCAACTCAAATAATTTTTAGCTCCCAAACTATGAGCTTCAGACCATAATGTATTCTACTTTATTGAAATCTGTTCATAACGGAACATCTGATAATGCAATGTTATTGATCCATTGAAAAAAATGGTTACATGATCTGGGGGGGTGCGATAGGGAAAGTTAGATCAAATGTAAATATATCAAAATGTGTCCCCCTGTATACTTTTGNACTCAAATAATTTGTAGTTCCCCAAACTATAAGCTTCAGACCCTATGTTTTACACTTTGTTGAAATCTGCTCATCATGGAGCATCTGTTAATGCGAAACAATATAGGGTGATCCATTTAAAAAAATTTTGACATGCTCTGGGGGTGCGATAGGGGAAGTAACATCAAATGTGAATATGTCAAAATGTGTCCCCCTATATGCTATGGTTGACGTGTTTTTTTTTTAATTTTTTTCTGCAAATCATTGTACCAAAAGTTATTCAGGGTGGCTCGTTTTAATTGGAAAGCACTGTATATGATGTAACACATGCCGAATACTATTGCTTCGTGTAATAATATACCCAGTAGATATAATTTTTTGAATCCCAATGTTATAAATGGTTGTGGGGGATGGAATTTTCTGCGACAAAATAGAGGACCATACAGGTGTAATAAAACATGAGGAATACTATTGTTTCATCTGAAAATATACCCAGCAGGTAAATTCGATCAATTCGTGGCTGGAACGCATGCTGCCTTAACACTGGTCCCCTGTACGCCATTTTACTCGCGCCAACACTGCAGCTGTTGACCCTAAAGCGACCTCACCCATAATATTTCTGCATTCCCCAGAGCACCTAGAAATTCCTTCCACATATAAGTAATAAACAATTACCGGTTGCACTAGTATTTTTTTTTTTGGCTGATAATAAATTGAGTTAATGTTTCCAGAACGAATCTATATTATGTATTATCTCGGTGCTGATTTCATTTCAGCTTCGTTTAACTGATTCGAAAAAAAAAGAGTTTGAAAATTTTAAATAGAATATGGCTATTGACATGAATGAACAAAATATCTGTCAGATTATCTGAATAAACACCCTATACTCTTGTTTCCTATTAATAGTGAAAAGTAATAAATCCTCATTATTAATGTAAAACGCCAACAGAATGTTCCAACAAAAATTTTGTGATTTCGTTATGACTTGCCACAGATGGTATGAACGGGTTTATAATACTTTACCTAGTCCACCCTATTTTTGTATCGTGAACGGGTCGCAAACAAAAGATTTTGTGAGCGTTCAGATAGGTAATTACGTGCAGTGACGTTCGTTTGGGTACTTGAAAAAAATACTTTTCAAAACTAATAACTACATTATTTACGAGAAAGAAAGGTTTCGGAAGTAGAAAGCCACAACCTTTCTTTTCCCAAAAGTATTTTAAAATGACGTCATCCTCTTCTACAGCGATAAGTGAAAATATCTCTAGTATGCCTGATTCAATCAGGTGAGCTGTGCAAACAATTTTGGGTGTCAAAAATACAATCTAATCTATCAATTATTGATGCGAGTGTTCCATATTTTTGTTACAGACATGCTATCTTAGTGAAAGTTATTGCTTCAAGGCTTTTATGACTTGCATGCCCATCACATATCAGTAATACTTGATCATGTATACTAGATATTGTATGTGGTTGAACATGTTTTAATCACTTTACAAATACGTCAGAATTCATCCATCCCGATTCTTGAGTCAATCCTGAGTCAATACGCGAGGGACTGTGGCTGCTCTTCTTTTTGAGGTTCAACTTAGTAAACCTCGAACTTCACTGTTTAGGAACCCTTTCATTTAGAGAACTGCGTTTATGTGGAGTATGAGAACGTTTTTCCAAATGAATTTAATCTCCAGCGATTTAAATCCAATGTGAATCACAACTTTCGCACAGGCACCGCTTTTAGAATGCCTTAAGGATTTTTCTGTAATGCTTCTATTTTGTCTTTAAAAAAATATTTTTTCTCTTTCAAAACCGACTCTTGTCGTAACTCTTTTTTCTGTTGATTAAAATTGTGAGCAAAACCGTTCTTTTCCGCTAATTCGAAGGCAAGCTTTGGACTGAAGTTCGAGTCAGTCCAAAAAGTCTAGTTTCTAATAGTTTTTAACTGAACTGAACTCAACTGATTATCTTTCAATGCTGGGGGGAAATGTCAATTTGAACCTTCCTAAGCCTTTAGTATTGGGTGCTAATTCTTTATTTAAGTTTGACGCATGTCGTCTAAGAGTGGCTTGAGAGATCCTAATAGTCTTTGGTGCTAACAGCCATACCACTTTATTCAGTTCAATTGCTTCGAGTGCTTTCTTCATGTTGTCGTGGCTCGAAGCCGGACGTTTCGTTTTCCCGTTATGGTCACGAGGCATATTATCTGAAAAAAATTAAATAAAATTATCATAAGAAGACTAACCTGGCGATGTGCAGAGTTGGGAGGAGCTCCACCGACAAGAGCTAGGCTCTTGAGTATAACAACAATATAACAACAAAAAAAGGAAAACCTATGGATAAAGTGATATAGGTATGTCATTTTGCCCAGAGTATTGGTATGCCATTTTACCCAACAGTATATTGAACGGCAAAAAAATCATTAAAATAATAAGTTTTGTGCGAAGTAAACACATTTGTTCCTGTTACACCGGTCCGGCTCTGAGGCAATGAGCTATAAACGTCACAGGTTTGGCTAACTTCACGTGGTACGATGTCATGATCCGCACTAAAGCCCGCCAGTTTTGAAAATATTTGAATAGGTTGGAGTATATTTATTTTTTGAGAATGTAGGTTGACGAATATCTTTGTTATTATTCCTTTTGAAATCGCTCCAATGTTCACCGTACAAGGAATACTGCCCACCGCCGTGGGAAGTGATTATTAGATTCAATAATCAAGCGTTCATAGTTGAAACAGGCCCAGAATGACAGAATTCTCCATTTGTACTGCCAGATTTTTTAGCATTTTCAAACAAGACTTTATAATCCGATATATCTAGAGAAAGTATCATTCCAGCAAAGACACCTGTGGTCAAGTGGACGTAAAATTATTGTACAACGGGTACAAGGTAATATGACATCTCATGCTCCACTGATTCAATACCTCAGAAGGGATATAGCAATGATATGCCGCTTCATACCCATCGCATGGGTATGGGTATGAAGTCCTAAGAGTCTAAGGGGTTGAAAATACAAAAAAAATAGACCAAGATGTTGAAAACACAATAAAAATGAACCATGACGAATTTCACACTTCCTGTCTCTACTCATTTGGTATCAGAAAGGTTCGGGACATGTTTTGATGAACTGAATTATTTTTCTCGGTTCTGCAACAAAGATAAACGACAGAAATCTGATCACATTATTCTCTGTCGAAAATCATCCATAGTTCACATACTGATTGACTAGCTGCTTTGAAAGAAGAGGTTGAATCCATGTTTCATGATGGTCACGCACCAAACGAAGAAGTTAATCCAACCTTTTGATGAATTGGTAAACTTCAAACCCTTGATCATTCTAACCATTGCAACTCATCCCAGCGTTCATTTAGATAATCCGATAGTAGAAAAAATATTCATAGGATGAAGTTGGTTGTTCGGCGTTAGTGTCGGTTGAATTTATCACATTTTGTGCTGATATTTTCCGAAAAAAGAACACCACAATATACTTTGAAGCTTCTCGTTTCCATATAAAATAGAACAATTATCAATTAGCATGGGGGTGTTCTCTTATCTCTCCAATTCTCAAAAACATATTTCAGTTTATGGGTAATAGTGTCCGGCAGTAATATTTCTAGGAAAATAGCATCGCTAATATTTCAAAACTTGACGCATCGCACAGCATATAGTATTTTCGTAAATGAGTTTGCACCTAATAATGAATCGTGAAGAGATAAAAGAAATACTAAAAGTAATAGAAAAAATACCACCGATAAGTGAGAGAAAAGTTGGCATTTTTTGGTCTTGTCTTGGAATTTTTCTTGAGATTTTTGTTGTCTGCTTTTTTGAAATTATTTTCGTATGTTTCTTTTGACCTATCATAACTCATTATTACGATCCAAACACATCCATACACCGACAAAGTAGAATTTATCCTGGTTTGTCGTAATTTGTTGTTGTTTTGTCCATTGTATATACTTACAGATATTTTTCAGATATTGAATATCTTGACCGAATCGCCAATTAAGGGGATAATTTTCATTGGATGTTTGCACAAAACGCGTGTTCACGTCTTCTCAAGGACATCATGTACCTAGTGGTATTTGCATCATTGGAAAATGATTTTTGTGCAAATAGTTAAATCATGTTTGACTAACAAACATGGTTTGACTTCCCAATAATTCTGATATGAACCCAATCGAACATATATTTGTAGTCGTTTCCGAGACGAATCTGTTCATTAATCAGGACAAGATAGTATAGAGCTCGATAATAATTGTAATTCTGTAAATTTCAATCGAAAATACGTTTTTGTATTTGAGGGTAATCAAAATATGCGATTGATCAAAGAATGTAAACTTTTACGGCTTGAGATAACTGTGTGATAGCTTTCACAAAATATGCGATATCATTTTATGGTTGTGAACAAGTTAGTTGGTATAAGTTGGTAAAGTCTCGTAAAGCTAATCAAAGAATAACTGAACTTTTTGTAATTCAATTTAGGACCACAAATAGTAAGTCATCCAAAAGATCTGTCTAGATGATCACGAAGTTAAAAAATGAGATCTATCCGTAGTAGAATTATTACTTCTCTCTGAGTACTGTCCTATCTGGCCTGGTATTTATAAATATCAATCATATAATACTAAAGATTCTAAATCGATTTAAGTTTCATAATGCTACTTATAAATGTTTCATCGAACCACATATAATAACATGTTATCTCTCATTTCATTTTTAATTTCAGTGTCGTTGACAGGAGTGGCCCTCCATATGAACCCTGAGGCACCTGAGTAAGTACCCGTATGTCCTAGTTAGCGAAACTATAACTATTGGTCTGAACAGCTTGTTGGAATTTGTATTTATTACTATCAAACGCCCTTGGTACACGTTCTTTGTACTAATGTCAACCAAGTCGACATTCTTTAAAGATTTATTTTTAATTATTGCTTTGTACATGCAAGTAAATCGATGTTCATTATTTACCAGTTCGTTTTTTTCTTCAGATAGTTTGTTCATTCGCTATTCAGAGAGAAATCTATGAGTCATGCCGATGAATACCAATGATTCGCCTATCCGTTCTGTGTATAATTGAAATAATAAATGGTATTGACAATGGTACGAGGTATTACCAGAGAATTGGATCATTATAAAAACCAGGGACTATCATACTGCTGGCAATCTCAATTATTTGACTGAAAGTGTTGTTATTGATTAGTGTCTACCTATAATCACCATTTTCATGGATATTTATGTGGAACTGATTTTCTGGTATCACTTTTTGAATGCGTTTCAAATTCTGATGTCTAGTGATCTCTTGGCCGAAAGAAAACCAAACCGAGCAGTAGTGCATCAATATTTCATCACTCCAAAAAATTGTAATTGCATTGGGTGCCTGGTCTAGTAAAATGCCGTCTTACCGTCCCTGAAATTCACTTTCAGAGTTTTCTTTAAATTTTAAAATTACGCCTCATGGTCTTGTAACAAATTACATTTTATGATTTGAATTTGTTTAACTGTTTACTCACCACTTGATTGAAAATTCAAACCGATGACTACAATAATAAAAATTTTGTTCGCACATTTCGAAATCAAGACGCTATATAAATCTAGTGACCGTGGAGAGGAGTAGTCATTCAATACCGCTAACTCTCCCAATAAAATACCGTGAAAAATTTTGGTCTTGATCAACGGTATGATGAAGGTAATTGAATGTTTCAACAGGACAGTGCTCCTTCGCATTTTTGCAATTGTTTTTTCGTTAGAACTCAGACTGGCGGGTGAGGTTAATATTGATTAGCCACCACAGACATCAGATTTGTGACCCCTCGATCTTTTTTTGTGGAGATACCTGTAAAGTGATATGTTCTGTTTAGTTTTCGTTTGGATCACTTTTAATTTTTTATTTCACAAATGAAATCGGTACAAATATTTCAAGAATATTTTCGAAAAAATTCACTAGGTAAATACTTCAGAAAATAGTTTCAAGGAAGCTATTCTACGAAAGGTCGTAACGTCGCTAGATATATGAAATACAGAACCAGCTGGAAATCGCCATTAGCTTCAGAAATTTTAGTCAAGCGGTGTTAAAGTTCAATAAGTTTTTGGTTGATATTATTCCTCTGCCTATGTTGTAAAATTGAATATGTTAACAAAACCGTGCAAATAGTTATGCGAAGAAATAATTTCGTTTATGTTTCAAATGCATTCATACCAACCTAATTAATAAATAGGGTGGACAAAAATCTATCATTACCTAAACATACACATATACACTCAAATATATCGCTCCACTCTTATTCCTCATTCCTATAAAAAATTCTATTTATTGAATTTAATGTCAGTCAGTCCTGAAATCAGTCTTACTAAAATATTCAATGACCATTTGGTAAATTATTTGTGTCTGCCTTAATGAACCTTTCTTGAACTGAACATACCTTCAATTAAACCTGAAAAGATAAATGCTTCGTTTTATAACACTTCATACATGGTTCAGAAGCTGTACAGACAATCGCACACATCTGGTGACGTCACACTAGCTTGCAGCAAACTAGTAGTTTTAAAGTCGCGTATTTTGATAACGGTAAATTTTATCGATCTGAAATTTCTGCCATTGTATTCTGGATGACAAGCACCATCAAAATAGTTTCAAAAATGTACAAAATCGGATTTGACTCAACAATCCTTCTATACTAATATCGGGGCTTGGTATTGTTTAAAACCTAGGATGTAGCGATTAGGCTCAACATAATTTCTTGTCTAGTAGTTTTGAACAAATTCCTTGTAGGATAATTGATGATGTTCGAGTGCAAATTAATCTTGGCTGTACAATCATTAAATTCTTTACTACAGATGATTATCTTAGAGGTTTGGACTGTCGTTGTCTAAAAAAGTGTTACAGACTTGAAATCTAAGTATGAATAAGTTTTCCATATGGTGCATACTTTGGTGAATGAACGCCTAAAATAAAATTATGTTTAATAATCAGGCGTATTACTAATGTTGCGTATTACTAATGTTATCTTTAAAATAAATAATGATTAAGTGATTAGGAACTGACAATACTTGTTTGTCAAGGAATTAACGATATTAATTCGTCACAATGTCTTTGAACTGATGACATTCGAATCATCCACCAAAAACATTTTTGAACCTGGTGGAATGATTAATCCAGGTTTAGTATAAACAGCATCGAAGATCTTGACTGGTTTTCTTTATTATTGGATTTGAGATGGTCCAGGAGAGTTTTATTTATTAATAATACATTTCACAAATTCTCATAAATAGCATATTTCCGTATACCTACGTAACGTAGTCTTCAATAATGAAACTATTTGAAATTGAATAAAACAAAAATAAGAAATATTTCTGAAACTTTTTTATATGGTTTCTTGTTATGAAATTAAATGGCATTTCTTTCATTTGGGATATTCTTTGAAATTAATTTTATTTTGAAAATGTTTTGTTATGAGTCATAGAAAAAGTATAGTATTCTACTTACAAAAAAGGGTTATTACTCACACGAATGATTTACGACGCGACGGTGGTCATCTGCTCGTGTCGACAATCTTCATTCTTAATAAGTAGAATTTGACAACTCTTGACGTAAAATGAAATGCTGTATCTTGACGCGCGTTTCGCTAATCAAGTTAACATCATCAGAGGATGACTAAAACTGCCCAATCATCTCGTGTGTGTGTTTTTAATTCTCACGAGTAATGGCCACCTTTCTCGCTTGTTGAATAATATACCTACTGTTTAACTTGCCTGATGCAAATATTTCATTAATGTTTCTTAAAACAAAAACATTGTTTTTAAATGGAATTGTTTGAATACATTACATTTCAATTCATAATTTTTTCAAGTTGGAATTAATTTTATATAAAAATGTTGATCTAAATGAAAAATATTCTATTTATGTTATTTTAAAAAAAAATTGGTATCTTTTCCTCATAGATAATTGTAAATAAATTATGAAAATAGATCTTCCCTCCAAGCCGACTCTTTCCTCCAGCTATTGAACTACTTATAAAAACAATAGTCTCCACGTATGTTTTAATACTTGTTTTATTACCATTTATATAGTTTGGTACAGCTATATAACAAAAATATATAAAAAATTCAGGGCCTTAAAATCTCACGAGAGATCGCTTTGCGGAAGAAGCAGGGCTATCAAAATTCTGCATTTGAATCAAACTCAAAACAAATTGTTCAAATAGAATAGTTTTCAGTCATAAAATACAATTTTTGTTTAAAAGGAAATCATATTATTGAGATTCAAGTACTATATATTTTGTTTGAAAAGTTTGTGGATTCAAAAATATATTGTACAGCTATGCCATTATTTAATAATCGATAATGTTGGATACTTGCACCGTGATTTCAAATGACAAAACACCCATCATAATATAAAAATTCAAGGCTGAAATTTGTGGACCGTGAGTCAGTTTTGCTATTTCCGTTATGCTGAATGAAGATCTTAACTTTGTTTTCACTTTTTCGTAATTTTATGACTCATATGTTTGTAAATCACTACACCACTTCACTGGTGATTAACTGATGTGCAATTGCCGTTTTTCGTGAGAGGAAGGCCCACTGAAGTTCATAATTCCACTTAAGTTTGATAACAACAATCAGTTCTTGAATAATAGAGCGTATTCGATACGTAACATGAATGTTTCCATTTTGTGACTATTCAAAAACAGTAATATTATTTATTCAATTGAAAAACTGACCAAAATTGCATAGATCAGTGTAAAATAGAGGATGGGTTATGGATGAACTACGAAATTCTCTACTTTATTTCAATATTTGGGATATTACATTCAGTGTTGACAAAAAATGCAAAGAAATACTACATTAGCACTTTTGGTGCGTACTGGAAGTAACTTTATTGTGAGATTTTCAATAAACGGTTTACAAAATCGCAACACGTGCTCCATAATACAGTACCTTTTTCATGTGTCTTCAGTGCTAACAAACTGTATGGTGAAACACTTGTCGCAGTTTTGTAAACTGTTGAGAGAAAACCTTACAATGAAGTGTTATTCAAATAAGTTATCTTAGATTTTCACCAAGTATCGGCTAATGTTATCAAATATAATAATGTTGGCGGATAATAAGCTAAAATGTCAATGATTTCTCTTTTCACGTTGTTTACAATTGCTGCAAATATATTAACGTAAACTTTTTCAAATGTCTAAGCATGAAGTACGAAAGTTTCATCAAACAGGTAAATGGAAAATAATATATTGTGAAAATATTAGCTTTCCAACATTCATAGGATATCATAATTGTTTTCTGAAGAAATTACAGCGTTAACAACATCTTTGAATAATTTAGATTATTAGAGTGGCCTAATATTATATTATATAGATTATTTGTGAAATCTGGCATCCACACTACTTTCTTTTTGTGCTACATCGAGACATCTAATTGCAGATAATCATTGGTTGAAAAATGAAATTTGCCAATTTCAACAAACAGCGGTGCCCTGCTGAAATTGGGAGTTCAATTTGTAGTTAATTGCTTATGGTTATCACGAATGTGTTTGCGGAGGTGTTTCTTTGGAGTATTAGTACTGTATCGATCATCAGTGCGCTCATGGACAATAATTTCTCAAAGCAAGCACAGAAAGTCTAACTGCTGTGATATATATTACTGACGACACGCCCCGGCTCCGCACGGGTGCAATGCTGACTAAATATAAACTCACCCACCGGAAATATAAGGGCATGTAGAAACAGTGATGAAACGCACCCCTTTTGCCCTCATGGGGGGCACTTGGAATATTTGAAAATCCTTTCCTAGTGCGCCTCTATGACCAAGGAAGCACATATATATCCTTAGACTAAGTATATACCAAATTTTACCTTCCTAAGAGTGTTAAGTGAGAGACTTTCGCATTTATAAGTATAGATTTGCGAGTTTTTTTCATGAAATAGCCTGAGTGTAGACATCAGAAGTGTAAAAAATGTGGACTAAA